ATATCAGTTCATTTACCCCATACAGATACACATTGTTTATATTGAGGAAAAAAATTGAATTATAATGCCAAACTAGATTAAGAAGGTGATGATTATTGGACAATAATTACCTTGTAATACTAAACGCAATACTCCGTACAATATTTACACGATAGATGTCTTAACTTTTGTACAATATTTACTATCGATCTATCACGCAAAGAAAAAGGCACCTTAGTATGAGCATTAGCGAGCTCGTCAATAGACATGGGCTTGGCGTGTTTGTAAATGGCTTCGGGGGTGCCTAGTTGAACGGCACACTTATATGAGCTCGTGCTAAGACATACGAAATTTATAAATATGAGACTATTACCACTTATATTTATTGACATTACCGCTTATATGGTTGACATTATCAATCATTAACGATGTTGTTTAATCTATCACACATATATTATTTTCTATTGGTTAAGGTTCGGTCTTAAAGAAATGTGTCTAATCAAACTATCTCAGTACGTTATTCTAAAATAATAATAATTGACATTACCACTTATATGGTTGACATTATTATCGTTGACGATGTTGTTTAATCTATCACACATATATTATTTTCTATTGGCTAAGGTTCGACCTTAAAAAAATGTGTCTAATCAAACTATCTCAGTACGTTATTCTAAAATAATAATAATAATAATAATAATAATAATAATAATAAATTATCTCCAACAACCGTATGATTTTGATTTGTTCAAGGTAGTTGTGAAGTTTTATATAAAGAAGGACTTTTTGTGAGAAAATACCTAATAAAACCAAATTTTGTGAGAAATTACCTAATAAAAAAATGTTAAAAGAAACTACCTAATAAAAGGTAAACTGTTGTAAAATACTACCTATGTCTGGTTTTTCTTTGTTGACCAAACTTTCCGACATTGACCCATCTCTAAACACCCTTGAAACCACCGCAAGGGTTGGTTTTCAAGGTGGTAAGGCTATTTTCGAGTTGATTTAGGGATATTCCGAGTTAGTGGGGGTAGTTTCGAGCTATGAGATGATAGTTCCAGTGGTGTTTTAAGGTGAGTCAACGCCAGAAAATTAGGTCAACGGTGGAAATTCGACCATAGGTAGTATTTTACAATATTTTACCTTTTATTAGGTAGTTTCTTACAACATTTTTTTTATTAGGTAGTTTATCACAAAATATGGGTTTTATTAGGTAGTTTCTCATACAAAGTCTCATAAATAATGGAAAATTTGTCAACTACTATCCTAAAAAGTGTACCTTATTAATTATTACTCTAAAAAAAATAGTTTTAATAAAAGTGATTAATTTGTATAATTACTAGCTTCATCTAATTTCTGACAAATTATTAGCCAAATTATAATATTACTTATCACTTTAAATCTAATTTACATTAGGCTAGTAAGGAACAAACATTTATAAAATGATTCAATTGAGATTAAAATAAAGAAAAAATTGCTTTAAATAATACCACTTTTCACCCGTCCGCTAAAAACAAGTCGACCTTTTGATTATCTCTAAATAATACCACCTTTGGAGGTTGTCCGCTTTAAACAAGTTGTAAACAGTTGGTAACCCGATTCATGGGTTATATGGACACGTTTCATCAGTTTATTGGTCTGAAAATATAATTTTATTTAATGTTTTTAATTTTTAATTTTTTTTTTCTTTAATCTCTCTTTTCCCACCTCACTACCATCATTCTCCATAACCACAACATCACCACCAAACCCCACCGCCACCCCCGAACCAAACTGACCCCCACCCCCACAACCACTGCCCCACCATTGACCACCACCCTCAACACCCACAACCCCCTTAATTGAACCCCACCCCACGCCACCCTCATCCCTAACCCGAAATCCCACCCCTGACTGCAGCCCCACAGGACTAAACCCCCACCCCCCCCCCCAAAAAAAAAAAAACCCACCACGTCGAATCGAACCCAACCCCTAAACTGATGGGTTCTTGATAGTGGTGAGGGTGAGTAGGATTTCTGGGCTCGTGGAGGGGTAGGTTTCAGGGCGGTTTCAGGGCTGGGTTTCGGGAAAGGGGGGGTTTTCAGGTTAGGTTTCGAGTTGGTTTCGGGAAGGGGAGGTTTCTGGGCGGTTTCAGGAAGGGTTGGGTTTTCAAGGTTAGTTTCGGGAAGGGGATTTTTAGGGGGGTTTCGGGGCTGGGTTTGGAAAGGGGGGATTTCAGGGTAGGTTTCAGGGAAGGGCTTTCGAAGGGGAACGACAGGCGGTTTTAGGGCTTGGTTCTGGGAAGAGGGGCTGTCAGGGTGGGTTTCGGGGAGGGAGTGGTGAGGCTAGGGATGGGGGTAGGGTGGACAATGGTGGTCGGAAAGGGGAGGGGGCGGTTCTGGTGGTGGGGATAAGGACAGGGGCCACCGAAGTGTTACAATGGTGCTGGGGATGGGGGTTGTTTAAGGGGTGGTGGGATTGGCTGCATTGACATGGGTAAGGAGGAAGGTGAAAAAAAGGAGGGGGCTGATTTTTTTTTTTTTTTATTTAATTGTTAATAAATTATAATTAAAGTTGTTATTAAGAGTTAATTACATTGTTAAATGAATTTATTAAAAAAATAAATAAATAATTTAACCGGTTATTCAGGTTATAGGTAAAATAACTTGTTTAAAGCACACCCCTCAAAGGTGGTATTATTTAGAGATAATCAAAAGATCGACTTGTTTTTAGGACGGATAAAAAGTGGTATTTTGTAAAGCAATTTTTCCTAAAATAAATGACATTAAAGACATGAATAAAGGTCATTTATTAGTCGCACGATGCATTATTGATTTTTTGGTGGACTATTTCCATTTAGCGTAAGGATCTATTAATAACATGAAAACCTTAGGTTGTATAAAAATGTACCATTCAGTCAGGATATACAAACCAAGCTAAGGTAAAACACATTCCTCGGCAAATTTAAGTTCTTTCATAATCAACCCTATTCCAGCTAAAAATGGCATCCTTCCATGAATGAAACTCGAGCGGTCGAAAGAACTAATGGCCTGCGCGGCCATCCTGCCACAATCCTCGCCATTGGCACTGCTAACCCTCCAAACGTTATGTATCAGTCTGATTACCCAGATTACCATTTCCGTTCCACAAACAACGGTCATTTGACTGATGATCTTAAGGCCAAGTTCAAGCGCATATGTTTACCCTCTTTCTTTAGTTATTCTTGTTAATTGCATACCCTAATAGTTATTTCGATCTTCTGTTTTTTTCGAACGTAACATTTAGAATTTACATTATTCACTCACCTCTAATAAGATGTGCATTGACATATATGAAACCTTAAACGTTGCATTAAAAAAATAAGAATGAATGAAGTATTTGTATGTCCAAAGAACTCAAGAAAGCTCTTTAATAAATTTATCTTCTTTAATAATTTTTTAAATCAGAGCTCAATTTAATATGCCCATGAGATGCCTTGATTTGCATGTCATACTATTAATTTTGTGTATAAAATAAATTAACTTAGTGTACTTCTTATTTTAACAAATTCATCATTAAATTTTAATCAAATTACAACTGATAAATTTTCGATTAATAATGTACTTATTAATAAGAAGTACACAAATTTATGTAAATTGACTCTCAACACTCTTAGTTGAGAGAGAGTAAATTTATTTCCATAGGAAAAAAGTTTTATATATATCGAGAAATAAATTGACTCTGATCTCTACACAAAAACAAGTATAAGAAATACTATTCATGTATAAAATGGTTAATTTACTACGATCTGTGGTTTGGTTTGGTTTTAAAATTTTGTAAAACAAAACCAAATCGTAAATTGTGGTTTGAAAAAAATTTAAAATCGTAAATCAAATCATGAATCGCTAAAATATAATTTGGTGTGGTTTTAGACCAAATTCTGTACGTACACCGTACCCCTACCACCTTATTTACAAGTTTGTAAACTTTTTAATGACATACATTGTCCTAATTAATCTCAAATTGCACATGTGTGAGAATACATACTTATATGAGAATAGTCTAAAATTTAAAACATGTGAGTACATATTTATTAGAACATATGAGTAAAATTTTAGAACAAATGATTAAATATTTAGAACACATGATTCAAAATTATCACTATTAAGAAATTCATATATATTTATTTTAATGCATGTTATCAACTTATCACAATTAAGAAATTCATATTTAATTTATTTTAAAGTAAAATTCATATTTTATATTGTAAAACGAATACCTCTTATAGGCTTCTATCACAAATGAATAGTTGGTACAATGATAGGTTTAGTTTATAAACCTATCACACTTAGCGCATTGCCTTAATCCTGGGCACATATGTAATATAGGCTCCACAAAATTAGTGTGGCCACAAAATACAAAGTATACATATACCAACAGATAACAGTGCTAACTATTAAATGAAAAGAGTGTATTTATAAAGATCAACTAACGATCAACTAATGGGGTGTGCTCTTAAATAATGATGGTTAAAGCTATTATTGAGAAATGCATAGGCTGGGTTGCAAACGATCCGAACTGAACCGAGGTTTATTTAGTCCGAGCTAAGTTTTTAGAAATCTTGTTCAAGCTTGGCTCCTTAAGGATCTAACTAGCTTGTTCGATTCATTTGAGTCATTTTCTGACAAATTAGCCCAATTATAATGTCACTTATCATGTTAAATTTAATTTACATTTAAGCTAATTAGATGGAAAAATAATTTATAAATGATTCAAATGGGAATTTTACTTTTTATTTTATTTTATTTTTTTGGAAACAATTCTAATGGGATTAAAATGACATTAATGACATGAATAGAGATCATACGCATTATAAGTCGCACGTTGCATTATTGATTTATTGGTGAAACTATTTCCATTTAGCGTAGGGATCAACAAATCACAATAAAGACATGCATGATGATTATTGGTGTAATATTTCCATTTAGTGTACGGATCAACTAATCACATTAAAGACATGAAAACCATGGAGGGGATCAAACTAAATCTTAGGTTGTATAAAAATGAACGATTCAGTCAGGGAATACAAACCAAGCTAAGGTAAAACACATTCCTCATCAACAAAGTTCTTTCATAATCAACCCTATTCTAGCTAAAAATGACATCCTTTCATGAAACTCGAGCGGTCGAAAGAACTAATGGCCTGCGCGGCCATCCTGCCACGATCCTCGCCATTGGCACTGCTAACCCTCCAAACGTAATGTATCAATCTGATTATCCAGATTACCATTTCCGGACCACAAACAATGATCATTTGACTGATCTTAAGGCCAAGTTCAAGCGCATATGTATACCCTCTTTGTTTAGTTATTGTCAAGTGCATACTCTCATTACTACCTCCGTTTCATATTAGTTGCAACTTTGGAATATTTTATATCTCACAAATAATACCCTAAAGTTGTAACTAATATGAAACGGAGGCAGTATTATTATTATTATTTCTTCAAAAATATAGTCATTTGGATAAAAACTTACTTGCTAATTTTGTCTTGATATATATACACTCTTTATTAATCTATGTAACTATTAGTATTTAATTATAATTACACATATTAAGTGTATTATAAGATGTGCATTAACATGTATGAAAATTAAAACGTTGCAATTAAAAAAAGAATGATTGAAATATTTGTATGTCTAGAGAACTCAAGAAAGTTCTTTAATAAATTTTTAGAACTCAAGTTAATGTGCTCATGTGATGCACGATTTAAAAGTCATAATATTAATTTTGTAGATAACGTAAAATAAAATTAAGTTAATAAGTATTAGTGCACTCTATTACAATGCATCATTACATTTTAATCTAATTGCAATAATGGCAAATACTGTACAATAGTTATATGTATAGTGAGTTCTCGATTAATATTATAGGCTCGTAAGCATTTCCTAGCATGTGACACCCCAATTGGGTAATGGTATCAAGCAATTATTAGCAAATTATACATGAAATTTCGAGTGAGCACCCATTTATCTTGATGATAAACAAAACTTATTTATCTAATGACAAGATATATAGGAAATCATGAAAATATAATGATTATTCGTTAAAATGAAAATGCAATTCATAGTTTTTTTTATTTTTTATTTTATTTTTTATGAAATATCTAAGGTATAGTAGTTTGAACTTTGTAATTAATTGTGTATAACAATATAATGCTCCCCATTCCTATTATTTCTTATTATGACATTGTATATAAAAAATAACATGTACCAATCCGTAATAAAATCATTTGATGCAGTTTGGTTTGCGATTTAACAATACTATGTACACCCCCTATTACCTTATTAAAAAGTTTAACATCGTACGTTGTCCTAATCTTGAATTGCACATATGCAGGCGAAAAATCAAAGATAAGGAAACGTCACTTTTACATAACTGAAGATGAAAGTCTAACTGGCTAATACAAGAGGGGGGGTGAATTGTATTTGAGGTGAAATCTAAAAACTTTTTGCGGAATTTAACTAAATGAAATAGTGACGAGAGAAGATATAGGCTTTTCTAAATTTCCACTAAGTAATCAAACTCTTTACAAGTGAAGATTCAAACCCGTTAACAAGTTCCACAAATTAGGAACTTGTTCCCAACTCTCACAGAAGACTTCAGCAACGAAGCTTCCTTGACCTCACTTTACAAACTCACAATCCCAACCCCTAAGTACTTGAATACAATCTGTGATTACAAATACCTATTGCACTCAAGAATATATGAAGGAAAATAACTCTCTTTATGTTATTAGATGGCTACTGGAATTTTTATGCTCAAGAGTTATGTTTTTCTGAGATAGTTTGCATGAGTATTTATAGAGAAGGCTTAGTCATTAACCTCCACCATAATCACGTCCACATGTCAACAACCCACTAACAACTTGTGGAGTTATCTTGACAGATTGTGATCATGAAGAGGTTTCCTAGCCTTATCTAATTAAACCACTATCCTAACAACTTGATAACCATTAGCCGTATAAAAGATTTTCTCACAGAAAAACCACTTGCTAACTTTATCAAATATTTATTTAAAAGATTATCAAAAGTTTGTTTAAAAAGATTTTATTTGAAAAGATAAATTTATTATTTATTAAAACAACTAGATAATTATCTTCGATAATTATCTTTATTAAAACTTTTACAAATTATCTTTTCTTTAAGAAATTATCTTTTAAAACTAACTTTTATTCCAGTAGTCTTTAACATAAGTCATTGAGTTCCTTTCCGACTTTATATTATTGAGTGCTCACAATTAAAACTAGAACGTGAGATTTGCACGAGGCTTTTTAAAGAATGCTACTCCGCATCCAAGTTCCTACTCCGGAACGAACTTTGCTTGAACCCTTTATTCACCAAAGACTCAAAACATTCATTAGTCGAGTTTGTCAATTTGTCCATCAAAATCAAAAGGCTCAACAAATTCCCCCTTTTTGATGATGACAAACATTGACAAACTTAAGTAAATAAAATCATCCAGGCATGCAACAGAAATTTAAAGTAAGACATGAAAACAAAAAAAAACAGAGTAATTAAAGAACTTAAAAAAAAGCTAAAAAGTATTTATTTTAAAAAGACTGAGCAAAAGAGAAAAAATTAACAAAGACTTTAAAATCTTAGAAAAAGTTTAAAAACTTAGATTACTAGGACTTTATTAACTTAGAAAAGTTTGTACCTTCGATGTGTGAGTTCCTTGGTAAACACTTTAGCCGCCATGAAGTTTGTCTTTTCCCCCTTTTGGCATTATCAAAAGATTGAAAAAAAAACATTTTGCTATACTCCCACTAGACTACGTAGGGAATAGTGAGCTCAAATAATGCAAGGCAAAAATAAGTTAGGTACTAAATCATCAGCAACCTCACACAATCATATGAAAAATACGAGCCAAGTTCCGATTTAGGAAATAGAAGAGGAACATAGAGAATGTAGCAAAGGATAAAGGCGTACAAACCAAAGTTCAGAGAGATTAAACAAGACCAAAATAAAATTGTTCAACATATGAAATTAGAATAAGTGCAATCAAGGATTTAAAAGGCTGCATTGGTAGGATCAAGGGTTGGATTTGTGGGATCAATAGAGTCTTCCTCGACTTCCTCAAAGGCTACTCTGTTGATAGTTTCCAAGATCTCCTTGTTGCCTTCACTAAACTTGCCTTCAGCCTGTGCAAGCTTTGCCTCTACGCCTGCAAATCCGGTTGCTTGAGAATCTGCCAGAGCCTGCACCTGGCCTTTAAGAGAAAGCAGTTCCGAGGCCATTTCCTCCAGTTTCTTGCTCACCAGAGTAGTCAACTTCTCCATATCTGCTTGAACCTGTTGAAAATCATAAACAGACACACGAGTTCCAGAGAAAGCAGCAAAGCCAGTAGGCTGAAATGGAGGAGGAGAAGGTGAATGAGAAGGCTGCCTAGTAGGTGAGACAGGAATAGAAGAGGGTTCAGTGGAAGAGGGAACTTGGGTAGGTTTGAAGGTGGAATCAGATTTGTCTGAGGAGCTGATGGTTTCTACAGTCACAGGGTGTGTAGTAGAAAGGGCAGGCTTGACCACATTCCTCTTACTCCTTCTAAGGCCCCCTGTAAACACAGGAATGACAGGTGGTCCAGCTGTGCTCTCAGAGTCTGTGGTATGTTCCCTCTCACTTTGATCAGTTCCCTGCCCCTCATGTAAGTCAGATTGTCGAGCTTCCCCCTCAGAAACTTCCATATGTTCCCCCTCAGAATCTTCCTGTTTTTCTCCTTGCACATCTCCCTCAAGTATTTTTTCTTTGTTTTTCTCTCCGTTAGAACTTTTTTCTTCTTCCTTATCTCCCTCAGAATCACTGGAGGTGGTAGCACCCTCACTAGCCTCCTCACTACCCTGGTCACTGCTTGCATCACATTCTTCCTTAGCTTCTTTCCCTTTCCCTTTCTTTTTCTCCCCTCCTTTCCGAGGCACAAAACATACTTTGCCATTTGTAAGCCTAAGACTCAGTCTAAGTAATGATTGTTCAGAGAGGATATTATCGGGTTTGAGATATGTTGGGGATTCACATTCAACATCAATACCAAAAGATTTGAACAACACAGTAAGGAAAGAGCCATATGGAATTGTGGTCTTTTGAGCATAAAAATTCAAGTGTTCAATCATTAGAGCAGGGAAATTAATCTGTATTTTGCATGCAAGACAGAATATGAGGGAGGCATCCAAGAGTGATACGGTACTCCGTTTTTGTAAACGGGGTACTATACCCTTCCAGGTGAAGGTAAACAGTAGCTTATGAAGGGGTGTTAGGGCATGATGGTGAGTAGTTTTCACTTTCGGATTTCCTCCAATAAATTGAAGGATTTTGCATTCATCATTATGGCCAATGTTTACAGATTGTTTGTGCTTTAAATAAGAACAATAGCCTTTAACAGGAACTTGAAATAGATTTCCAAGATAATTGGCATCAAACGAAATTGGAATATCATTAACTACGGCCGAGCACACACCATTATCACATTGAAAGGTATTTTTGAACTCATAAATAAATTTAGGATAAACAGGGTAATGAGAACAATTCTGGAACAAGTGAGTCCATTTTTGATAATCAATTAAAGAAGTAAATTCAGTGAACTTACTCGCCACACACCAATCATAGTTGATGTGATATCCGAGAGTGTAATTCCATGATGGGAATTTGGTGGTTGCGCGCCGTTTCCTGTCGCCGCCCTTCACAGCCTTAGCCTTCCTCTTTGGCTGAGCAGATGGATGCACCACCGCAATTGGCACCGGTTGTGGAGACCCCGTGTTTGAGGAGGGTTTGAATGGTGGTGATCGGGTTTTTGGGGTGGTGTTTCGGTTGGTTTTCATGGTGTTGAAGGTAAAATGAAGGGAAGGAGAAGATGAATAGTGTGAATAGGAAGGAGAGAGAGTGAGGCCGGTTATGGGAGTGTATGGGGAATTTAATTGATTTGATAGGTGAAGGTGGAGTGAAAAGAAGAAAAAGAGTTTAATGGGGAGGAGTGAGAAAGAAAAGTGACGGTTTAAACTGTGAGGTAGTGGGGTAGTTTTAGAGGTAGTAGGATTTAATTTGGTGAAATAATTGCACTCATCTAATTCAATGTTGATAAAATAAAATCGTAAGTTAAGAAGTTGATATACATGCTTCTTATCTTACGTAGCAAATAAGATCTTTTTGTATTTTTGAATTCTATGAGGAATAGAAAAATTCATCATGAAAAAATAAGGAAGGAAAAAGATAAGAATAAAAAATAAGATAGAAATAAAAGATAAGAAAGAAAATAACAAGAAGAAAAATAAAAAAAACGAAAAAGATAAATGAGAGCAGATTGATTGTAAATTATGATGATAATTTACGTGATCATGATACAGAGAGTAAAGAATGATGAAAAAGGAACTTGAAACAACATGGCTCAATACTTTTAACATATTAAAAGTATGTATAAGTGACTTTTCAATACTTCACAAATCTTTCCCCTGGGTAATTTCAGCTGTGTTATTCACACAAGATTGAGCGTAGCATTGTTAGTTACATCCGATTTTACCTTAGGGGTTCCAAACAAAAATCACTTGAGCCGTAGCATCCCCAATTCCACACGCATCTTTTCAAACTTGTCTCTGCTTAAAGGCTTAGTTAAAATGTCAGCAATTTGAAATTCAGTAGAAATAAAATCTAGCTTAATTAAGCCCTTTTCAACATTATCTTTCAAAAAGTGATGCCTTATATGTATATGCTTAACTTTAGAGTGTTGTACTGGATCTTTAGAAATGCAAATGGCACTTGTGTTATCACAATGAATAGGAACGCACTCTAAAATAATGCCATAGTCACGCAACTGTTGTTTTATCCATAGCAATTGAGAGCAACATGCAGCAGCAACCACATATTCTGCTTCGGCAGTGGATAGAGCAACAGTGTTTTGTTTCTTGGAACTCCAAGAAACCATGCAAGAGCCTAAGAATTGGACTATACCTGATGTGCTTTTACGATTGACCAAATCTCCTGCATAGTCAGCATCAGCATATCCTTTTAGGTCAAACGAGTCACTTTTTGGATAAAACAGACACAAGTCTTCCGTCCCTTTCAAGTATCGTAGAATTCTTTTGACGGCTGTTAGATGCGATTCCTTTGGATCCGATTGAAATCTAGCACAAAGACCTACACTAAACGAAATGTCAGGTCTGCTGGCAGTTAAATATAACAAGGAACCAATCATACCTCTGTATTTTGTTTGATCCACACGAGTTCCCTTGGGGTCTTGGTCCAACCTTGTGGTTGTTCCCATGGGAGTGTGGTTTATCTTTGTGCTTTCCATACCGTATTTTTTTAATAACTCCTTCACATATTTCTGCTGATGGATCATTATTCCTTCGTTAGTTTGCTTAATTTGGAGCCCAAGGAAGAAGTTGAGTTCCCCCATCATGCTCA